GCTCTGAGCCCTCTGCTCTCCCTTTTAACATTTCTCCTGCAGGAAGAACAGTCAGTTCCAGGGCTGGACTGCTGAGTCTGGCAATGCTTTTGATGGATTATTCTGGTTATGTTGAAAAGGAAAGAAGCAGACTATCTGCTTTAAGTTGTCTGGGAAAGCAGATTATCCTCAGCAGGTTTGCTGGTGGTGGGAGCTGCAGTGCCCAGCAGATGTTTATTGCTGCATTTACAGACACACATCTCCTCCCTGCAGTTTAAATTCCAGTCCCAGGGCTATTATCTCCCAAAGATCTTTAGTACTTCTGCACCGGGCTAAAGCACAGCCTTGTCATGCAGATTCTAAAGTGTGTGTTACCTGTGAAAGCATCTGTTGGGAGAATAAAACACCTTTCCACAGCCAAAGAAATATTTATTGCTCTCCCTTTACCATCCACTTACCAGCAAATATTCCCATGACAACACGGGAAAGGATGATTACTTCAAAGGTTTTTGCCAGCTCTGAGGTTCCCATAAGGATTGCAGCAGCGATGGAAAAGAGGTTATTTATCAGCAAAGTGCCCTTTCTGCAGGGTAACAGGAAAAGAGATGGATTCAGTTGGGCATTTCTGAGCTGCAGAGATCCCCTCTGTGTCACACTATCCAAAACTCACACCATGCCAAACCCTGAGCAAGGAGGAAATGGCAATTCCCACATTTTTCCTGCAGGCAATGAAGGTTTCAGAAAGAAGTGAAGCTTCTCAGGGAACCTGAGCAGCAGAAGCTGGGCCTGATCTGAGATCCCAGGGCTTCCTTTCCTCACCGCCCTGCCTGGCTCAGGGCCCACAGCCCGGCCTTGGCCACACCAGAACCACATCAATTCCTTCAATTTACGGGAGCCAACAGCCTTGGCTGAGCCCAGCAGCTCTCCCTCATCGCCCTGCTTTCCCCCCAAGGTGTGTGTGGGAATTTCAGGCTGCTGAAGGGCTGGGCAAGGCTGAATCACCAGGACATGACTTTTATCTTCTCCCAGAGGGAGGGCAGGACCTCAGCTCCAGCTCTCACTTTACCGGCCGCAGTTGTTGACCATGGGCCACACCATGAGCGAGCCAAAGAGGCCACCCAGAGGGAACATGGACACCGTGAGGGACCAGAGCAGCGTCTGGAAGCCGCTGTCCATGGGTGCTCCAGTCCTGCCCAGGTAGGTCCTGTTGTAAAAGTCTTGCATGTACTGCAGGGAAACACAGAGCACGTTTAGCACAGTGAGTACAATTTCCATGCTGTAAAGGTTAGATAACAACAAATGCCATAAAGCTCTGCCCTAAAACAACTGTCCTGATAATAAAAAATCCGGAATGGGCGAGCTGGGGAATGAATGCAAGAGAGGGATGGAGAAGCCTGGGCTGGAAAACTGTTCCTGCCCTTCAGGAGGTGCCTGGTGCCCAGGGAGGAGGCACCCAGAGCTCAGCTGTCCTGCACAGAGGGGACAAGCCCGTGCCCACAGACACCACGAAGGCCAGGTAATTCCTGGGATGTTACACCTGCCCCTCTCCCAGCTGGGCTCACCCACCGGGGCAGGAGAGTTGATCACAGACACGTTGTAGCCGTACTGGAAGGAAGATCCAAAGGCAGAAACCAGAGCTGCCAGGGCCAGGGGAAGTGTCATTTTCTGCAGGGGGAGAGACAAAAAAACCATGAACACCACCTTGGAAATGGGTCTGGCTTTTAGGCATTTATAACTTTAAGTAAAAACAAAAGAAGTCTCGCTTTCTGCGTTTTTCCTTTCGTTTTGCTGCCTATAACAGCCCAATGGGTTGTTTCCATTACAACTCATTTTGTTCTGCTTGATATGCCCACAGTCATTAGAGCAATTTACTCTGCTTTGCTGGTAGGAACGAATCATTTGGATGATTGATTTTTTTTCAAGTTACCATTCTTAAAACACCACCCAGCAGGGAAAAAGGTTGCACGCAATTATTCTTTCCCAATGTGCAAATTGGACAGTGGAATAATACAGGATACTGGCACGGGAAAGCTTTAAAATGATGGGATTTTTGCATCAAGTGGCAAAATCCCTTTCCTGTTTGTTTTTTCTTCCTCTGTATTTTGGGACAGAGCTATTTATGGATCTGATTGTCCCTGAAGCCAATTAGAACTTATCCAAGCAGCCCACGGAGGGCTTGGCTGAAGGGTTACAGGAGCTGCACTTTGCACTAGAACAGAGGAGGGGAATTGTGGGATCAGCACCCTGTTGTGGGCACACATCCCCCAGCGTCACAAAAATCAAAAAAATCTCGCTTTTCACAAGAGTTTAGCTGCCATGCAGCCCCCAGGCTGTGTTGACAGAGCTGGGTTGTTGGGATTTTTTTTGGCTGGGTTTTTATTCACTAATGCATCTCACTGCTGCTACATAAATAAAGTCATTTTTCATTTTCATCTCATTTGCTGCCACCATCACCAGCCTTAATGGACATAAAGTCTGCGAGGTTTTCTGTCCCAGCACTCAGCTCAGGTCCCACATGAGGGCTCTGGCATCTCCCTAATTGAACATTTGTCCAAATAGCCACTGGAGCTTCTTTCTGTTCCTCAGAATCTTTGGCAGCTCAGCTCCAGGGTCTGCAGAGTTTAAGGTGTTACAGGAGATCAAAATTCAAGTTGATCTCAGCCTAAGGATCAGGAGGAGAATGAGGCTCCCAGGTCTGGGTTTTTTTTGGGAGGAGACTGCTGCCATTCTCTCATTGGTGATGAAAAGCATCTGCCTTGCTCTCAAAAACCAAATTCCAGGAGTTCAGAAGAGCCACTGGTGTTAATTATTGACATCCAGCACTCTCAGGGAAACCGCTGGCATTGCCCAGCAGTGCCTTGTGCAAGGCTCCCAAACACTGCTGTGAAAGGAGCCCCATCCAGCCTAACACTGATGGGAAAGTAGGAGAGAAAATACAGGGGGAGAGTCACACAGAAGGGAAAGTCACACAGAAGGGAAAGTCACACAGAAGGGAAAGTCACACAGAAGGGAAAGTCACACAGAAGGGAAAGTCACACAGGAGTTCTGGGCTGGGAGAGCTGCAGACAACCACGGGACTCAGCACAACGCTGTGCCACAGACAGACACAAACTGGGCTCGGGAATAGAAACATCTCAGCCCAAAAGATCTCAACTCTTCCTCCCTTTTACAGGTACCCACAGACCCCCAGGGCTGACTCTGGATCCCCGTGGGAGACTCAAGCTGGAGGCAGGCAGCCAAAACACTCACTCCCTTGGCACCTTCACTGCCCTCGGAGCTCTCCTGCTTCCCTCCTTTCAGCTTCATGTTGGTGTGTGAATCACAGATGCTGAGAGCAGCTTCTTCCAGCCCAGGCAGCCACGGGGGATGGAAATGTCCTGCACAGAAAAGCCCCTCTGTGAGTTCCAAACACATCCAGTCACCCCCGGGCTCTGTCAGCGCTGTGGCCGATCATCCCCATCCTCTGCCTGGCTCTCCCGTGGCTCCCATTCAGTTTTCTTTCAGCTCTTGCCAGTGTCAGATGTTCTTTTAGCACACCCTCAACCAGAGGTGCTGCCCAGTGCCAGGGGGCACGGGCTCATCTCCCCATTGAGAAGGGGCAGACCTTTCAGCAAAGCTGGTGAAATGAGCCAGTTCCCCCAGTACCTGCATGGACAAGGAGAGAGCCAGGAGCTGCAGCTGGGGCTGCTACAGCTGGAGGTGTTGCCCAGCAACTGTGGCATCAGGGAACACGGGGAGCAGCCCTGGCAACACAGAGGGTGTTTGCCCTGAGCCCCAGCCAGCCCCTGCAGCCACGAACCGCACAGATCCGCCCTGGGCCAAAAAACCCACTCCTCCTGGTCCTACCTGGCAGCTGGCTCAGGCACTCCTGCAGTCCTCAGAGCTTATCCTCCTCCCAGAGCTGTGGCTGTGTCTCTCCCAGAGCAGCCGAGTTCCCTCTCCCCTCCATGCAAGGGGGACACACGTGCTGTGGCTCTTTTAACCTCCTCTGTTATGGTACTGCTTTAAGAGCCCTGGTTAATCATCCACTACAACTGTGGATGAGTTTATCAGAGAAATGCAAAGTTCACAGGCATCCCCAGCAGCCAGAGAAACCAGAAGAAACCTCCTGTTTTATTGGTCTGTTTTCATCAGCCAGCCCAGAAAAAAAGGCATCTCTTGAGCAACACCTCTTTCCCACATGTCCTGCACACGTTCCCTGGCTGGCTGCAGCGTCGCCTCCTCCACGTGAAAGCAGCATGCCCCAAAGCAGGAAGAAGAGCAGAGCCCTGCTGATCTCAGTGTGGTGGAATTTAGTCCCCAGACTCCTTGGGATCTCTCTTTTATTGGATTTATTTTCTGTGAACAGCCTGAAGGATGCTTGACAGGGAGCCACAGCTACCGAGCCCCCTCAGCAGCTTGTGTTGTCCTCACCTTCACGGATCTTAAGCCAAGAGGGAAAATTCTGCCCCACAGTTGGGGAATCTGCAAAGGGGACAAATTTCCGTAATGGAATTCCAGTCCTTTAAAGGCAGCATCACCCTCTGGGAGCTCTTAGCAGAATGACAGCTGCCCTGACACTCACTAAATACAGGGAAGGAGAATTCTCTATCGTGGTCTTCAAACCCTGTTCCTGAACTCCTGCATTTTGGGAAGGAATTGCACATTCAGGCAAGGATAATCCAATATTCTGGGCCCCTAAGCTACTGTGGGACTTTAGGTGAAACAAAGATTTAAGAAATAAATGATCTGCCTGAAAATAAATCATACACAGCCCCTGCTTTAGCAGCTGTACAAACGGCAGGCAGTCAGACAAGGAGAGTGTGACAGTGTGACCCCAACAATGGGAAAGGGCTGGATCCACAGGGACTGTGCAGGGAACAGTGTGACAGTGTGACAGTGTGACAGTCTGATCCCAGCAATGGGAAAGGGCTGGAGATCCACAAGGACTCTACAGGGAACAGCAGCAGAGCTCTGGAACCAAGAACCAGGTGAGATCCTGGTTTTGCTGCACAAATGCAAAGCTGGGCACCGTCCTGGTAAAGAAACAGAACTTTATTTTGTAAAAGTCGGAGAAAATACTTTAAAAACAAGCAAGTGAGGAGCTTTGAAGGAGGCAAAACATTATCTCCAAATGGCACACAAAGCCCCAGCCCCTCGCCAGGGTGACCCAGCGCTCCCAAGGCACAGAAAGCACCGGAGCTCAGAGCCCTGCCCTGTGCTGGCAGGGCTGTCCCTGCTGGGGACACATCCCGGTGTCCCTGAGCACCGAGGAGCCTGCAGAGCCCCCAGTCCCTCAGGAGAACCCCCAAGGTGCCACCACAAAGCCCACGGTGCCCCCCTGGACACCAAGGAGGAGGGGTGAACACCCAGGGGCACCATCCATCACCAGCACCAAACAATCCCTGCTGTCCTGTGGGGGTGAGGAGCAGGAGCCAGCCCAGGACAGTCCTTGCAGCAGCTCCTGAAGCTTTCCTGCCCCTCGGGCATCGTTCACCTCAGAACTCACCAAGCACGGCCTCGCCAGGCACAAAAACAAGACCCCAAGGAGTTTGAATGTTTGCAGTGCAGGGCGAGGGAAGGAGGGGAGCTGAGCTGGAGCTGGGCTGAGCAGAGTGTCCCAGAGCATCCCAGCACTGATGCTGAGCAGTGTGAGGGGTGTGAGGAGCAGGATCTGTCCAGGCTCAGCTCTCCAGAGCCGCTTTCCCCGGGCTGCAGCTCCCTCTGTGGGACTGTGGCACCATCCCTCACCTGCAGCAAGCCTGCAGCTACAAATGCATCCCTGGCACGTCCCTCCAAAAGCATTTCTCAGAGCTCTGCAATGGAAAAAGGCAAAGTGAGAACATGGAGTCTGGTTTAATTACTTTTGGTGGTGTTTTTTTTCTGCTGTTTTGTTTTCCCTTAGGCCAAGTTGGTGACAATTTTACTTTCTCTCTTCAGGACTGGCTCCAAAAAAACTGAACACAGCATGATACTGAGTCTCATAAAATTAAAATATATCTATCCTACCTTTGTGCAAGAAGTTTAACACAGCTCCTCTTTCCAAGCCTTGTGGGATTCACAAGAGGTTGAGCTACCAAGGTTGTTATTTAGCTTTCAGAAGTTTTAAAAAGCCTTTTGAAAGGAGGAAAAATCCTCTTGAAGTCATCTCTGGCACAGATAAGATGCTTCCAACTACCTTTCAAAGACTGGGGAGGCTGAAGAGCAGAGCCATTCGCAGCCCCATGAAATGGGCTCAGAGCTCCTGAGGACTCCCCGTGTTTACACAGCCTGTGCACATTTGGCTTTAAATATACTAATAGAATTATAAAGTGAATGCCAAGCTTCAGGAGAGAACAGGACTCATCTCTGCCCACAGTCCCCGAGGACTCTGTGCCATGGAATGGTGCTGCCTGCTGTAAACACAACTGCAAGGAGCCAAAAAGCAGCTTTGGAACAGCTGGGGGCTCGGAGCAGCTGCCCTTCCTCCCCAGACAGCTCACGAGGCTCCTGTTCCCCTTGCAAAAACCTCTTCTACAAATTAAAAATGGCAACTGATGACAAATTAAAAGTCCTTTGTTTTTCTGGGCTGTGTGGTGCGGGAGAAGGAGAAACAGGTTTATGGGGGGAGGTTTGCTCAGAGCCCTGCCATTCCCAGCAGCCTGGGAACCTCCAGGATCCTGATCCAGACAGGCATCCTGCCTGCTGCCCCAGCCCTCTGACTGAGCAGGACCTGCAGGGGACTACAGCAGTGTCCCTTCATAGAGGGTGTTGTGCTCTGCCTGAAGAGACAGCTCACCCCAGTGCATCCCAGCACATCCCAGCACATCCCAGCTCACCCCAGTGCATCCCAGCACATCCCAGCTCATCCCAGCTCACCCCAGTGCATCCCAGCACATCCCAGCGCATCCCAGCACATCCCAGCTCATCCCAGCTCACCCCAGTGCATCCCAGCACATCCCAGCTCACCCCAGCTCATCCCAACTCACCCCAGCTCATCCCAACTCATCCTAACACATCCCAGCACATCCCAGCTCACCCCAGCACATCCCAGCTCACCCCAGTGCATCCCAGCTCATCCCAGCTCAACCCAGCGCATCCCAGCACATCCCAGCTCACCCCAGCACATCCCAG